TATCCTGGTAAAGCCTGCAATACGAGGGACCCCTGTGAAACCACTACTCAGCAAAGTCATTTTTCAAAAGCTACTGAAGCCACTTAAGCCCATTGAAGTGCTACAATTCCCATTGAAACCTATCTAACCATTGCCTATCAAAGTCATCACTTTGAAGCAACTGAAGCCTATCAAAGTGCTACCTATCTCATTGAAACCTATCAAACCACTATCTATCAAGTTCATTACTCAAAAGCTACTGAAGCCACTGAAGCCTATTGAAGTGCTACAATTCCCATTGAAACCTATCAAACCACTGCCTATCAAAGTCATTACACAAAGCTACTGAAGCCACTGAAGCCTATCAAATCAAACCACTGCCTATCAAATTTATTAATCAAAAGCTACTGAAGCCACTGAAACCTATCAAAGTGCTACCTATCCCATTGAAACCTGTCAAACCACTGCCTATCAAGTTCATTACTCAAAAGCTACTGAAACCGCTGAAACCTAGCAAAGTGCTACCTATCCCATTGAAACCTGTCAAACCACTGCCTATCAAGTTCATTACTCAAAAGTTACTGAAACCGCTGAAGCCTATCAAAGTGCTATCTATCCCATTGAAACCTATCAAACTGCTGCCTATCAAATTCATTACTTAAAAGCTACTGAAGCCACTGAAGCCTATCAAAGTGCTACCTATCCCTTTAAAACCTATCAAATAACTGCCTATCAAATTTATTAATCAAAAGCTACTGAAGCCACTGAAACCTAGCAAAGTGCTACCTATTCCATTGAAACCTGTCAAACTACTCACACCTACAAAAGCACTGCCTGTCCATGCATTCTTCGCAAAAAGCCCCTGAAGACTCTCAAAGTAGTACCTATCCACATAAAACCTAACAAGCCACTATCACCTACAAAATCACTGCCCATCAAACCCACCCCTCTCAAACCTTTGAAGCTTATCAAAGGGCTACCTATCCCATTGAGACCACCATATCCTGGTAAAGCCTATCAAACCACTTACACCTGTGAAGCCACTACCCAGCAAAGTCATTTCTCAAAAGCTACTGAAGCCACTTAAGCCTATTGAAGTGCTACAATTCACATTGAAACCCATCTAACCACTACCTATCAAAGTCATTACTCAAAAGCTACTGAAGCCACTGAAGCCTATCAAAGTGCTACCTATCTCATTGAAACCTATCAAACCACTATCTAACAAGTTCATTACTCAAAAGCTACTGAAGCCACTTAAGCCTATTGAAGTGCTACAATTCCCATTGAAACCTATCAAACCACTGCCTATCAAAGTCATTACGCAAAGCTACTGAAGCCACTGAAGCCTATCAAAGTGCTATCTATCTCATTAAAACCTATCAAACCACTGCCTATCAAATTTATTAATCAAAAGCTACTGAAGCCACTGAAGCCTATCAAAGTGCTACCTATCTCATTGAAACCTATCAAACCACTATCTATCAAGTTCATTACTCAAAAGCTACTGAAGCCCCTTAAGCCTATTGAAGTGCTATAATTCCCATTGAAACCTATCAAACCACTGCCTATCAAATTTATTAATCAAAAGCTACTGAAGCCACTGAAACCTAGAAACCTGTCAAACCACTCACACCTATAAAAGAACTGCCTGTCCATGCATTCTTCCCAAGAAGCCCCTGAAGACTCTCAAAGTAGTACCTATCCACATAAAACCTAACAAGCCACTATCACCTACAAAATCACTGCCCATCAAACCCACCCCTCTCAAAACCTTTGAAGCTTATCAAAGTGCTACCTATCCCAGCTTATCAAAGTGCTACCTATCCCATTGAGACCTGTGACACCACTAATACCTACAAAACCACTGCCTATCAAAGCCACCCTCCTTAAACCTTTGAAGCCTATCAAAGTGCCACCTATCTGATTGAGACCTGTGGCACCACAAATTCCATCAAAGCCACCCCTCTCAGACCTTTGAAGCTTATCAAAATGCTACCTATCCCATTGAAACCTGTGGCACCACTAATACCTACAAAACCACTGCCCATCAATTCCACTACTCCCAAGAATCCCCTGCAGACTCTCAAAGTAGTACCTATCCCCATGAAACCCACCAAACCACTAATACCTACAAAACCACTGCCCATCAAAGTCACCCTTCTCAAACCTTTGAAGCCTATCAAAGTGCCACCTAGCCAATTGACATGTGGCAACAGTCACACATGTGAAAATAATAAGGGGGTATCAAATATAAGAAATCCACCATTACAAACTAGTAACTTGTCCAAAAATCAATTTTTAGGTCTCCAAAGGGGTTAGTTAAATAACTAACATGTTTGAAAATGGTGGATTTTCCTAAACCATTCAATTAAAAAGTGATGGATTTGGTTATATTTGATACCCCCTTATATATAACCACAAAATATGTCAAATATATGGCTATTTATCTTTGCCTAGGAAATTTAGTTACTGATGCAATCTAGCTGAGTGAAGATTTTCAACCAGGGATATTGAAGTTTTATGTAATCCTATATGAGTAGGAATCACAGCATTCAAAAAAAATTGATAAATAGATAAAATGAACTGGTTTTTAAAATATTTCATTCAGATTTCATAAATCTAATACCAGATGTTTGACTGTTTTTATCTTTTATTTTTCATAATAATGTTTCAAAAAATCCTAGGCAGGTCTTTTACTGGAGCCTTCACCAGAATCTGGCTTCTTATACTTTTGTTCTACATAATCAATGTTTGAACTCATTATATTCAAGTTTAAAGAACAATCTAATGTATTCATTTCATTTTTTCGAATTGCCAATTTTGTATCTTCCATTTTCTTCCTAATTGATTTAACTGTCACAAAGACAATTATAATTTTCAAAAACCATCAGCTCAATTTTTGATGAAAAATATATAATTCAAGTGGTGGAATACAACTTACAATCATCATATAAATATTTTCCCTCACGAAGTACATATTCTGCATCTTGTGGAGCTGTAGTATTGGATTTTAAAATTCATCAGCAATTGATTTTTTTCAGTTCTTATGTGGATGTGGGGAGGTCCAAGTTTCAAAAATTTTCAGACTTAAAGTTTGGTATAGAAACATTTTTATTGATTATAGAAAAGAATGATTTAAATCCGCATAATTCTTGAGAAAAAGAAGAAAAATCCTGGGGTATGCAGACATACCTCGGGAAGACCCTTCCATCCTCTTGTGAAGGAGTTGAACCTGATTTTCTAAAGCAAAATCTTTAACATCTCTCTTTGCCAGATATTTTGGATGTAAAGCTGGATGTGCAGATATTACATAGAAATGTAAGATATGCAATGTACATAAGATACTGCATAATTTCATGGCTAGAGTTGGATGGATCTTATTCCTTGTTTATTGAAGTGAGAAAAGCCACAAATTATGCAAGTGGGGTGTGAATGATTGGGAAAATCTAGAAAGACAAAGTGAATTTATAATCCCAAGGTACCCACTCACTCAAATTGTTACAGCAAAGTGCACTTGTGTGGGGACTTTATCTTGCTTTTCCTCAAAACCAGTATGGTAAGCCTACACCCAAGTCATCTGTATCTTTTTGAAACAATGTACAATTGAACTCTTTTTTTGATCCTAAGAACAATATCTGTAGTCTGTATGGCCTGTAGAAAATGGGTGTTACAAAATATGCTCTATTAGCTTATTTTTTGACCCTGCGTGTAAAAAATCTTATCACTTGAATACCAGTCAATTCAATAATGGTGGATTTGGTTATATTTGAACCCCCCTAATAAGGTTTTGGAATGATTTCAATGCAAAATGGCTTCAATCACTACAAGAAACAATCAGGCAACTGCTTCAAGTTGACATGCAGCATACTCCAATCAAGCCTCAATGGAAACTCAGTTCATTGTATTGACATACTTGGGTGGTACTACCCTGCGGGTTCAAAGGGGTGAACCAGAACAATGTAGAATCAAAGTCTGAGTTTGACTCAAGTTCAGTTTAGAGTATGGTGTGAGCTCTTCAATGTCAAATGCCACCAGTTGCTTGAATTTTCTTGCAGTGAATCATCCCTGCAATTCTGTCAAATTTAAAATTCAAGCACAGCCCTGGAGACCCACATACAAACCCATAAAATATCACATAAGTTCAAGTTGCTAGTGTGGTTTGACACAGCTAGTTTGATAAGAACAAATTATGGTTTAAATATGGATATGTTGTTAAGATAATTGTTCAAGTATGAGCTGTCCTTCTTTGTACCTGTCAATTTAACTTTTCAAAAGTCTGTGTTGGAGGACCAAAACATTTTCAAAATCAAGTTCCAACAGACAAACGCTCCTTGGCAAGGGTGATCTGGGACCTGCTGATAGGTTTAGATTAGCATGTAAATTGAAGATTAGCTAACCTTCTGATTAAAATGAGTAATATTTACAGTTTATGGCATCAACTGTGCTGATTAAATTGGGGTTTGTTTGGTGTTGAACTAGGGATAGTCTTATCATGTTGGGTAAAAAATCACTCAGTCTCATGTGTGGTCTTGGAAAGCCTCTATTGCAGCAAAGATAACAATTCAAGTTCAGAAAGGATCTTGGTTGAATTATGAACTGTGTAAGTTTGTGATGGTGACATGACTACAGAAAGAACATTACACTCCAGATATAAGGAGGCCACCTCCTGGGCCTTCCAAGGGACCAAGAATGACAATCAGACCCTAGTTTTTTTTCCTGTGAGATTGCCATGTGTCACATGTTGAATATTTGTTGGTGGGGAAGTTGATGAAAAAAACAGCTTTTGTTCGGTATCTTTGCCATGCCAGTAAGTACAATCCTTCAGAAATAAATTGTGTGTAAGAGATGTAGACAACAAGTGGAAAGTCCACATTTCTCCTTTGAAGACTCTCAAGTACTCACTGTTAAACCAACCTTCAGTGAAAAATTTCACAGATTCACATCAAAGATAAACAGATTTTGAGATTTCAATGGTAGGATGCCCCTGCCCCCACCACAATACCACTGGAAGTGGAAGTGAAAATGGTTGCTGCTCTGATAATGGGGTACCAGGAAAAAACACTGAACACTTGATTACAAGCAAAATCAAGCTAACTCCCGTGTGCAATCCATTGCATATTCAGCTTGAATCTTCCTCCGCTCCCTGTAGCACACAAGGGGTCATTTTATTTGGATCACAACAGAGAAGGAGCCACAAGCAGCAATAAATTTAATTACATCATCTCATCTGATATCTGGTGAGCATACATTTTTCCTGGTGGAGACTGAGTGAACAAGACAAAAGTTTTGGAGAGCCTCTAGAACTGGTGGATATGATTTCTAGCATGGATGGAGATGGTCAGAGATGTCAGTTGGCAAGCAAAACCCAGTGCCCCTTAACTAGTTGAATTAAGGTTTTGCTACACCAACTGCATGTTTCATACATTTCACACTCATTTCACTCATTTCATTATTAACATACTCTACATATGCTTGTATCTAGTTATCCTTACCAAGCCGGATATATAAAGTTGTACACACTGAAGTCTATTGTTCCCCAGACTTTCAGAAGAGAAGACAACAATAACATCATTTTATTTACTCATTCCTCTTGAGCTCAAAGATACATCAACATATTACTACTTTGAGCTTGCTTGACCCTCTCACATCAACACATCACTGTCTGGATCCTCGAGCCTGAACTTCTCAATACTTATCAGCTGCTGGGCGTGAACACCTTGGATCAGAACAGTCTCCTTCTATGACTTGGAGCCACTGGACAACTCCAGTAAACTTCTATTGAGTGGATACTAGTCACCTCGGAGTAACCCACCGCTGACAAGAGAGCTCTTGTAAGTACAATTTATGATAAGAGAAAAATAGATGAATGATTTCTGTGTAGAGATGTCAGCAGGTATCCGTTTGCGGGTACCTGTTACCCGTTGTGGTGTTCTAAACGGTACAGGCCCCCTCAAGGTTGAATTTCAAATTTCAAATTTCAACTTATCAATATCCTCAAGCCTCAAGATTTCAACAATATCACCTCAAATCCCCTCTCAGTCCAAAAGTTTCCTTCATTATATTATTTTACTATGTTTTTGTTTCATTTTATTATTTTGCTTCCTCTGATTATTTAATCTTCATATTATTTTTCATTCATCTTAATTTTTTTTTATTTTTTTATTTTATCATTCTTGATTATCTTTTTCAAATCTACTCAGCAGACAGTCTTGTTTAATTTTCTTGGTCCTAAGACATCTTAGTATGTTGGTTTATTTCACTCTTGATTATTTTGTCTTGTTTTGTTTTGTTCTGTCTGGTTCTGTTCTGTGTTGTTTTGTTTTGTTTTGTTTTGTTTTGTTTTGTTTTGTTTTGTTTTGTTTTGTTTTGTTTTGTTTTGTTTTGTTTTGTTTTGTTTTGTTTTGTTTTGTTTTGTTTTGTTTTGTTTTGTTTTGTTTTGTTTTGTTTTGTTTTGTTTTGTTTTGTTTTGTTTTGTTTTGTTTTGTTTTGTTTTGTTTTGTTTTGTTTTGTTTTGTTTTGTTTTGTTTTGTTTTGTTTTGTTTTGTTTTGTTTTGTTTTGTTTTGTTTTGTTTTGTTTTGTTTTGTTTTGTTTTGTTTTGTTTTGTTTTGTTTTGTTTTGTTTTGTTTTGTTTTGTTTTGTTTTGTTTTGTTTTGTTTTGTTTTGTGTTGTGTTGTGTTGTGTTGTGTTGTGTTGTGTTGTGTTGTGTTGTGTTGTGTTGTGTTGTGTTGTGTTGTGTTGTGTTGTGTTGTGTTGTGTTGTGTTGTTATTGTTTTCTGGTTGAGTTGTGTTGTAGTTAGGGACGTGATGACATGTCTGTGACATGTCACTCCCCAGAGTCAAAGTTCAGTTTGAACTGAGATGATGGGGAAGCATGGCACTCTGATCTGATCCAAGATAGACCCATCAAATCTTATTGATCCTTTTATCATTGATTCATCTGATCCTCATATTCACCTTCAAAGATCCTCAAGCTCAACAACCGCCACAGAAATCAACTTCTGTTGTCGGGGAGTGATAATCACACTCCACCCCCCTTCGCACACACACTCCAACACTCCCTTCTCTGAAGGGAGTGTGGGACTGCACTCCAATTGAAATTGGAGTGCGGGTCCGCACTCCAACCCTCTGCGCGGGCATTCCCTCAGCAGGTTGGCGTGTGGACCTGCACGCCAATTGTGATTGGAGTGCGGTCCCACACTCCCCTTCTGAGGGGAGTATGGGAGTGTGCATGTGTATACTTTATACATATGTACATATTCCCTGGGCTATCCCATAGGACCCAGGCCTGGGTCTTATGGGATAGCCCAGGGCTTGAGCCGTTCGTCGGTGCCGGTCGTTCATCGGCGGTTTTAAGCCGATTATCCTCAAATCATCTTTCCCTCTGCTTCCCACACACTTCAACAAACGGTTCAGTCGATTAATGATTTACCTCTCATCATTTTCGTGCGTCCTCTCACCTCTTCTATTCAGCTCCATCACACAAGCGATATAACCTAACGTTTCCAAATCATGAATACCGCGCAGATACTTCAAGCTGAGAGAACAAAAAAGTAAGACTCGAAAATTAGCAGGAAGGACAACATTGAATCACTCAACAGCATGACTCGAAGGCGGCCGGTTTACAGTTATGGACGTGATCGCGCATCAGTTCCCGAGCCGATTTGAGCAGGAATGCCCGGGTGCGAGCGCTGACATCTGAGCTGCGTTCGATTTCAATCAATGGGGGCTTGAGCTCGGGGTAGTACTTTGGGAACGAGAACATGATCCGTAAGAATGCAATCCCTCCCCGAGCAGCCCATGGCCCATAGAGCCCAACCGAACAAGTTCGACTCTGGACGGCGATCTGTTCAAAGGTGATTTGGGGAAAATTGCGCTGGGCAGCGGTGAGCTCTTTGCCTAAAGTTTGGGGCTCAGTGTAGTGTGGGGTCGGTTGTGAATCGTCGACAGAGACCCGACGAGAGGTGTACAACCCATCTCGTTGGGAGGAATCCCTCCCGACGAGAGGGTTTACAACCCATCTTGTTGGGAGGAATCCCTCCCGACGAGAGGGTTTACAACCCATCTTGTTGGGAGGAATCCCTCCCGACGAGATGGGACTAAGACCAGCTCATCGGGAGGAAACCCTCCCGATGAGCTGGACTATGTACCAGTTCATCGGGAGGAAACCCTCCTGATGAGCTGGACTATGGGCCATCAGGGTTCAAACAAAGCAAATCCCTGTAGGACCCAGGCCTGGGTCCTACAGGGATCTTCAAGGCCATCGGCCAAGGTTTGAACCTTGGCCGATGGCCGTCAGGGTTCAAACCTTGAACCCATGTCGGTTCAAGGTTTGAACCGGTCAGACCATCTCTCCATAGGACCCATCCCTGGGTCCTATGGGATATGCCTTGACCTAAACCCATATGAATATGGGTTTAGGTCGAGGCATATGGAATCTCTGGCTGCACGCCTGCCTGCAAGCGAGGCAACCTCGCTTAACGGCTGGCGTGCAGCATTGCACGCCAATCAAAATTGGCGTGCGGGCCCGCACGCCAACCTGCTGATGGAATGCCCGCGCAGAGGGTTGGAGTGCAGACCCGCACTCCAATTTCAATTGGAGTGCGGTCCCACACTCCCTTCAGAGAAGGGAGTGTTGGAGTGTGTGTGCAAAGGGGGGTGGAGTGTGATTATCACTCCCCTCTGTTGTCCCCTCTCAGAAAACCAACCAACCCCAACGTGTTTTGTTCAGATCACAGCTCAACTCATCCAGACCCCACTTGAAGGCAGCCCTCAAAGCACCATCCCTTCAACCAACTGCCTACCGCCTGGCACAATAGGAGTTCCACACCGTTTGCACCTGTTTTCCAAAGCGGGTACCCAGAAACAGGTGAGGGTGTCAACATCTGGGGTAAAAAAAGGCAGATACCCTGGTACCCGCCTTACACCCGCCCTGGGAATGCTTCCCCTGAAGAATTTGAATTATCATTGGTGGTCCAACACTCCCTTTTTTGGGTGTGTTGAGCTGCACAAAGGTGTCAGCAACTCATTTAGGACACTGGCTGGTGTCTTACATGGGTTGCTGAACTAATCTGGTTGATTTGTTGAGGCCAGAGAGAGCCCTCTGGCCTTTGAGACAGTGTACAATTTCAACGACTGGAGGAATCCCTCCAGTCGTCAAGACGGATTTCTGGGTATATTTGCCTGCAAAAGATCCTCCACACCCACAGTGTAAGGTCTGGATATGAAACTAGAAGGAAATTCTAGTACTATTCCTGTCCTAATAAATTTTTGTTAGTAATTTTATTTAAATTTTAAAGTTTAAAGTGTATTTAAACTTACAAAAAAGGGTATTGTTGGTTAAACAATCAAAGAAATTATAACCTCACAATATTACTTGTTAAGAGGCCTAGAGTTGAGTTTTAATCAATACTCTGAATTCCAAAGGAGGAATTGAGGAAGAGTGAATTGTTTTTTAGACAATAAATCACAAGGAGTTCGTCCAAAAAGGTCTTTTGGATGAGTTGAGGATTCCTGGGCAAGTTCTAGAGCAATACTCCTGCAACAGAAAGTAAGAAAATGGCCAATTTTAAAGGAATAATGAGCTGGGATCTTTTAAGGGCAAAGGCTACAGGTTAAGGCTGAAGGTAGCAGTAAAAGAGGAGCTCTTTTTTGTGGTTGGAATGCTAAGGTTGATAAGAGAAATGGTTGGAAATGCTGGCTTCAAGTATATAGTAGTATATATGGTGAAGTGGGTGAATTTCTGAGGTTTAAGCACTCAATAAAGGAGTCCTTATATAGCCACACACCTGAGGGTGGCTTACAGTGCACTTTTGCACGATGACACTGATGCTTTGGGCTTGTTTGGCTGGGTGGAAGCCATGCCCAAGGCCTTGGTTATCAGTATCCCAAAGGCTGAAACAGTTGTAACTGTAACCACGGGCACAGCTACCCAGTCAGGAAGTAATGATGCAATGCCAAGTTATTGCTAGGGTTCTATATACCCAAAGGAGACTTTTTGTTTCGTCTCCAATCCATTTTGGAGTGATTTGGTTGAGGTATTCTGATATGTACTGGCTGAGAACAGGTTAAACTACTTGGGCCAGATTGAAATGGGCCAATTCTCAACCCTGTTGATTTCAAACTGGACCAGGGTTGTTCTGGTGGATGGCTTATGTAAGAGGATATTCTGAGTTTTCTCAGAAAGGTTATTAAGGTTAGGGATAAACAAAACAGGTTACATGACCAAGTGGCGGGCGTTGATAAACGCACTCCCTCCCCCTCCCCGCACGCCCACGCC